CATCCCTGGGTGCTTGTGGTTGTTGGCGGGCTTGTGGCTAGAGGGATAACCTTCTCCTTGGCTGTCAGGGAGGGTTCACTCAGCTTCTCGAGGCTGCCATGGTTCCCTGGCAGACTCTCCCAAACGATTCCCATCCTTGAAGCTCCATGTGCTGAGTCATATCACGTTGCACTGCCAGAAGAGTAGCTTGTGCCTTCTGATCTAGGTCACATCACCACCTAGCAGGGGGTCTCCTTGGGGTCACCTTGAGCTGCCCAGGGAGGTTCCGGGGCAGGAAGCTACGTTGTGAGTCAGGCATTTTGAGCTGCAGATGAAGTTTAGAGCACAAACTAATGAACTCACTGACTTGAAGACAGAGGGGCCAGGGTGTTGTTGGACATCTCTGCAGTTGCGCTTTGGATTTCTTGTGCATAGAGACTTGATGAAGGTAGAGATAGCCTTGCTGGCACTTGTTTTGGTGGCTGGGAATGGTCTATCTGGTGTGGAACTGATAGAGTGTGGGAAGCACGAGGCTGGAACTGCAGTGAAGATATATTTACAGTGGCATGTAAGAGAGTACATGATGTAGCCCATGGCAGCTCAGTCTCCAAGTGGTTCCCTAGTAAGGGGAACAGGGACTGTCTCTGACATGAACTCAGGGGCTGGCTCTTTGATCACCTCCCCCTTAGGGAGGACCAGCCTTACCAGGCCACAGAGGAAGACAATGCGGCCAGTCTTGAGGAGACCTGATAGTCTAGGGTTAGATGGAAGAGGAGGAGGACCTCCCCTATCAGTGGACTTGGAGAGGGCATGGGAGATGAAGGAGGCAGGGTGGGATTGGAAGGGAACGAGGGAGGGGTCTACAGCTGGGATACAAAGTGAATAAACTGTAATTAATGCAAAAATAAGATTAAAATAAAAAATAAAAAGAGTATAAAAAAGGGCTCGGCTTAGGGAGGAAGAACAGGAGTGAGCGTGCATTTGGACATCACAGGCAAGGGCATGTTACAAGGAGATGGGAGTGCCCAGGAAGCCTATCTCCCCATTTTACTGCTAGTCATTCAGCAGAGTGAGCCCCTGACAGAGCCTGGACACTCTGGCTTCTTTGTCTTTAGCTAACCGCAGTGGCAGGCACATAATAAGCTCTCGGTAGATGCTTCTTAAATGGCAGATTGACTCAGTTGTAAGAGTGTTTACTCTTCCTTAACGATTCTTTCATAAGGGATTAGTTCTTTTGAGACATGTTTCCTCAGTCAATAAACACAAACAGGCCAACTAATTTAATTTTAAAGTCCCTGGCTACAAAATTAGCAGTTTGAAATCTGGCAAAATAACTGATGGTTCCCATTAATGGAAAATCTGCCATATGTCATACGCTGGGTTAGGGCTTTTAACCCACAGGATGGTCATCCTCAAAATGTCCTATAAAGAAGATATGACTTTCTGGAAGACACACAGGAAACTGAGATCCATAGAGGTTAAATGAGTCATCCGCCTGGGATCATGCAGATAGGAAAAGGTGCATTTGGAAGTTGAGCTTTTGGCTATCTTGATCCTAAAAATCGTACACAAACAGAACTCTCTCATTGTGTGCAAAGTATTAGATAGCCTAGAGAGCACAGAAATCCATCAGGCTGCAGTGATGAAAACAGTGTGATACTGGCACAGTAATGGACAGACAGACTACACAAACAAAGAGAAAGCCAGAGATGGGCTGGGATGCACAGAGCCTTGAAGCTGATAGAAGGACAGGGCTGTTAAATAGGGACACGTGAGTGGTGTCCTGGACAAAATGTCTTTACTTCACATTCTTGCCCAGCCCTAATTAGATACTGAAGAGTCAAATGTAAGGAATGAGCCACAGGGACAGGTACGAAATGGGAAGGTTCTTGTCATCTCAGAATAAAGAAGCTTTTTTAGCTTTTTCTCAAATCTAAACACCATGAAGCAAAGGCTCGGTCATTGTATTCTTAGAACCACAGAGCAAGTTCCAGGACAACTGGGATACACAGGGAAGCCCTGCCTCAAAACAAAAATATCATAAGCAAAACAGAAAGAGAAATGACAACAAAATACACACACACTCGTATAATGCATACGCACCACGTATAAGTAAACGACTCATTTTCCAACTTTACTAAGATGGAAAGATGGGCAGTTATTTCAGGGATAAAAAAGGATCACAGATAGAAACGTATTTTACTGTAAAAGAAATACATGTGATCTTTCCATCAATAAGATGAGCTTGAGTGTCTTCGTGATGGAGCAAATTCTCTGGTTAGATCTCATTTTGTCAGCTTGCCATAATCCCCCAAACCCACAGCACAAGCTACTGACATGCTATGAGGGAGTAAACACTCACCAGTCTTGAGCCCGTGGAGTGAAGAAGCTGAGGAGAGCTTTCATCTGCCGCAGTCTTAACAACACAAGGGTCTGTATCTCCTTCCACCAGACGTGCCATTTCACAGCTACCCTGAACATACGTTTACAGGTGTGCAGAGAAACACATATGTAGGCTTCTACTGCAGCGTTATAAACTTGAGCAAAAACAGGATGGCCAAAAACCTAAATCTGTACAAATTAGGAGCCAGGTAAATCCTGACAAAGCCATTTATTGTAATGCTGTGGAAGATTAGTAACATGCCACTATATAAACTTACCTTATAGGAAAGACCTCTGTCAAATAAAAATGCCAGGGAAAACAGAACTACAGCAGGACACCTTCAGAGACAAGAGCAAGAAAGTAGGCACACTCATTCATGTTCCTCTCTTCACAGTGGAAAATTTGTCAGGATATACTATAAACTAATTGAAGTTGGCCAGATGGGAGAAGGCAGGTGGGAATGTTTTCACTGTAAAATTGTAATTCTGTATCTATACACATAAAGGCGTGTAGACATGGGGAGAGGCAGAAGGGGGCGATAGTAAAATATCAGCCACATACATGTTGAAGCACATGAACTCACACACAAGCTACATTACTACCTTAGCAAGTCATGAGTATCGAAATACCTTCGGCTAAAACATGTACAAGGAACCATCACTTATAACATCATAAGCAATCAGCAGCTGGTGCTGTCACCATCAAACTGTTTAATTTGCTTACTTCTTCCCCACCCCCCCCAATTTAGTTGGCTCTTTTTCTGTGACAAAAGATAATAAACCTGTGGAAAAGGAGCCATGGTTATTTTGGCTCGAGGTTTTGGTCTTTCCAGTCCATGGTTGACTGTCTACTTGACTGTGGGCTGGGACCATGACACAGCCATGTGCACAGAGCACAGCTTTGTGCCTCAGAGATGGAAGGGAGAGGAAGAGGATGGAGGGACAGTCTTCTAGAATCACTTAGAGTGTTCGTCCTATAGACTCCACTGTCTCCAAGTAGGACTGTAGACTGTTGTCCAAACCTTCAATATGTGAGCCTCAGGAGACACTTGATATGCAAATGAAAATACTGATAAATAAACTCTAATCACTTATCTATCTATCTATCTATCTATCTATCTATCTATCTATCTATCTATATCTATCTATCTATCTATCTATCTATCTATCTATCTATCTATCTATCTATCATCTATCTATCTCTATCTATGCATTACAGGTTATTTGATTTACTATTGCACAAATGGTATGTCACAGCATAAACCCCAGTCTAAAAATAAAAAAAAAGTCACAAAATGACAATGAAATTAACAGCATTTCACATTTAAAAACCAGGACACTCTTATTGAAATTAGCAGGCTCCTTGGTTGAGATTTAGTTGAAAGCTTGTGACTTGATTGTGACCAGCGTTCATTTAATGGCTGCTGTAGCTAGGAACACCAGTCTTTCCTGTTGGTTCCATATTGGAAGGCTTACCTAGCTGTAGCCTTTCTCATTGCTGTATCTAGGTAGGTCAGCCCCAAGCAAATTGGAGCAGTTCCTGTTACAGCTTGATGAGATACAGCCCAAACTCACAGATGAAAAACTTGAGGAAATGATTGTCAGCTGAACTCGCTAAGTCATCAACCTCATTTTCTATCATCAGTCACTAATTATGAAAGATTTTGTGCAAATCACCTGCTACATTTTCATCTTCTACTGATGACAATTTGTTCTTGGGGACTAATCAAGAGGAGCGCAGAAACCATATTTCCAAAAATGAATTAAGAGCCCACCCACACCCTTTATTTAGAGCATTTTCAAAGGCAGAAAGTCTGTTTTTCAGTTTTAACTTTTCACCCACTTTTGAGAGGTAGCATGCGTTGTATATGGCCCCAAAACCACGTAAGGAAGGCATATATCTAGATACCTACTTTGAAAATGGCTCTTGCCTCTCTTTCAGGAAGTCCATAAATTAGAAACCAGACTGCCAGTGCTTGCTGAAGGGTCAGCTTTACTCTGGGAATCGTTGTCAGCATGTCTGCTGAGTTCTTTGAGTTCAAGGAAAGCTGTGGGCACATCTTGTGCTGTTTCTTTTCATTCATGTGTTATATTCAATCCATATGGCCATTGTTGATTTTTCAGGGGTCTTTGAAGCTGTTTGTCCAGTTTGGATGGTCAGTGTTGTTACAGTTAACTAATATTGTTTTCGTCGAGTCCTGATACAGTGAGGTCAACGCAGATGGCTGAAAGCAGAAATGAGAGCTGAGCCGGTGGTGAGGCAAGCCTCCTCCACTGCCACAAGGCTCTCAAGTCCAGGTGTGAAGGTTGCAGGGGCACCGTGTCTACCTTTATATCCAAGGCTGTCGAAGTGTGCTTTCTCTGTGCTTATCCCTTGGGAAAAGAAAACTCCTGGCATCCATGGGAAGGTACTGGCTCTGTGACTAACCCTTTGTTCCGTGGATGGTCACAGGTTTGCTACCTGTGAAACCTCAGTTTCCGGTGTTGAGGCAGTGTGACCACTAATATTGCCAACCTGACAGCGTAAGAAAACAAGCCTTGGGAATATGTTCAGACTGGTTACTTTGATTAGGTTAACGGAGGGAGGACCCAGCACCATTCTGTGCCCTTGGATATAGGATTGCGCAGAAAGAAGAAAGATGGCTGAGTGTGAGCATCCGCTGTTTGCCGACTCCTGGCAGTGGGTACGGCTTGGTCAGCTCTCCCAAGGTCCTGCTGTCATGACTTGCCTACAGTGATGGGCCAGAATAAACGCTTTCTTCACTAGTTGCTTTCAGCAGGGTATTTTAGCATGGCAACAGGGTAAGTGGTTAAAACAAGCAACTATAAATGAATAATATCTAAACCACATTTTCCCTGTTCCAGGGGCAAACTGAAGAAGAAAAGAAGCCCAGAGATGGTGCCACACCTTCAAGCCAAGGTGATTATCACTGTCTGGTGTAGTTTTTAGTACACAGTGAATGAGCTTTACATGAAAATTGTGTTAGATTGTTTTTGTTGATTTATGCCTCTTAGCTTAAATATAGAATAATATTATCTCCAGTCCACTCATGATCTTACATACTCTATATAGACTTTATCAATGCCATCTCATGTGTTTAGACATATAAAGGAATATAAGTCCACAATTTTCTTGTTCTGTATGTATTTGCTGTGAAGGAGGCCATTTCTGGGTTTGTAAACTTTCTCCATTAATGAATGCTAGAAGATGGCACTAAGTTTATTTCTATCTCCCTGTTTCTGTTTTTCTCAAGATTGTTCCAATCATTTGATATTTGTTCTTATTCACTTCAATGAAGCCGTGTGGAAGAGATGGGACATTTAATCCAGAACAAATATTCCTCATGGTTAATTCACACATCAGTAGACATTAGGTATTGACTTTTTTTTTGTTTTCCCCTGATTTTCAGATGCATTAAATTTAAATCAACAAATACAGTTTCTGTTTTCTGACTATTTCCATACACATAAGACAGTTTCTCTGAAAATTTCCATAAAATATATTTGAGTATCCAACAGGATTTTTTGCTGTTCTCTGGGAGGAAAGGAATATAAATGTGACAATGTGTTTTTTGGAAAATTCTAAAAATGCCACAAATATTTAGGTAAGTAAGGTAAATTTTATTTTATTTTTAAATAATAAATGCAACTAAAATATTTTGTATTTTAATATTTTGATTTTTAAAAGACTACTTACTATTGCTTAATTTTGGAGTACAATATCAAAAAACTATGAACTCAAAAGTATTTTTTTTAATTACAGTCAAATACTGTATGTTGCTTTAAATGAATATTCTTCTATTGCTGCCACCCCAGGCCTGTCTTGTTCTTTGCTGAAAAAGCAGAACAGGATGTGTACTTTGATAATTATGTAACTTGATGTTCGGATCCACTGGAATCTACTTCAGTTACACAACACTAAAATTTTAGAAATGAAATTGGCCTGCACATGGCCCAAACAGCAGGGTTATTTTCAACTTTTTTTTATTATTATTCTCAGAGATGGGGTGATATTTATTAAGTTGTCATTTCTCTCCTGGAGCTATATTTTCACAGTAATGTAAATTGAGTTTTTATTTTTAAATTTTGTGGTTGTATCAGTCACACTGGAAAAAGAAAAATGGGCTCAGATGAACAATTTAAAACTTTTTGGTTCCCCATGCTAAGGTTCTGTTTACCAGTTTCGTGCTTGCATTTTGACTACATGCAAAGATTTGCTTCTCTCTAATTGCTTTCCAGATTTTATGTAAAGTTAGCTTGTTTTGTTGTTCTCTGTTCTTCTCTGCTGTCCTCATTTTGTAGTGAATCATTTGTTCTCAAAATTTCTTGCTGTGCTTTACTCTGCCCCAAATGTGACATTACCGGTTGCTTCTGGAATCTAACTAAATGTTTAGAGGAAGAATTAGCTTTGCTTTGTGTATCTATATATTATTACTTGCTAAACATAATGAGATTATGGTCACCTGAAGTAAATAATGTACATTTTTACTATGGTTAATGGATTGGATGAGATAAATCACCTATTGTCATCTTATCATGGTATTTTAATGGAGATTTTCCGATCTACAGATTGTGGGGCAATCAAACTCTTTCTTAAGAATTGTTAAAAATTTGAAGAAACTTGGCCACTTATCTGGTATCTTAAAGATAACAACAAAACAAAATCAGAGTTGTGTATGTAGACCGTGTTCTGTATATATGCATATAAAATTGTAGTGCATATGAACACATAATACTTTGTAGACATTTTATATCCAATATGTTCTTTCTTGGCTATTTTTACAGCATAATTTGAGTGCCTAACCTGTGCCACTAACACTAAGCTAGCCTGTGCTATAGGCAAGGGAGCTTCAAGCAGCCGTTTGACTTTCTCAGAATCAATTTAACTAATTGGTGGTGAATGCAAGATGTGAAGCTTATACCCAACAGTTTGTAAGGCTGAGCAGGCTCTATGCATGCTTGTTCTTTGTTAGTATCTTTCTCGTCTATGTAGGAGTTAAGATAAAGGTGCAGAAAACTGAAATTTTGCTTAGATATGGGCTGGGGAAAACAGCTGCTGACAAAGGACTAATTGTGTCTTGTATGCTCATGTGTCCTCAGGGACAGGCTGAACTGGATCTTCCTTGAAATAGCCATTCCTTGAGATTTATGTTTTGGTTCTTTTGGAAACTCATTGGCTAAAGTCCTTCCTGGTGACTAAAAAAGTTAAATAACTCTCCATGTTCCCAAGAGAAGGCTTGTATCATCATGCATTTGTTAATATGCACTTGCCAATAAAAACTGTGTGTGAGAAAGTCAGAGAATTATTCTTGTTAGTAAGTGTGAAGCTTACACCTGTTTGTATGATTGATATCTCCACAATAAAAACACCCCATTTCTTTGTGCACACGAGTGATCTGGCTTTTTGTATCTTCAATGCATAAGTGTCTTTAAAAGGATTATTTGTTTGGTTGCATGTAGGGGCAGTGGGGATTTTATGAATGTAAAACCACGAATAAAGTAAATTGTAAAAAAAAATGGAGGTGTACACATATCCAAGTTAAGCTATATTTAACATAAAATAATAATAAATAAAATAGAAAACTGAAAAGATATCCTTTATACAGGATACAGTGAAGAACAGGCCCTTGATACATGAAGGAATTAGATAAAATTATCATATGTAGCATTTTCTCAGCCATCCCCAGGCAAAGTCTATAGAATATTCACTAAAGAGGAGATACAAGTGCCTAAAAAATTAATGCATTGAACATATGTTTCAATAGAAATACACATTTAAAAGTAGTGATGATATTTTTGTTTTACTACATTAGCAGGGGTTTTAAGCTTCTGCCTCCTCTCAGAATCCAATAAGGAAGTGGACTCTGGGCTCATGAGAGGAGTTCTCTCTGATGACCAAACATGTTAAATATTTTCTTTGACTTAGAAACTCTTTATTGAATTTATCCTAATGAAATAAACATGTGTGCTCCGTGTGTACTAAGCTTTATTGTTGTGGCACTGTTTATAACTACAAAAGCTGCAAAGGGCTGTTCAATGCATTTGGTTTATTGGGAAGACATTGTGGCTTGAATATATGTAGATAATTATGTCACTATGTCCTCTGGAAACGTTAAATTATCATAAGAAAAGCCGATGGTAACATTTAACATTTTAATAGTTACCTTTAGGTTGTTTGATTTTAAAAGTATATCTACACTAGTCACTTATGGTCAGAGCATATTGCTCCGTTAAGCCTACCCGCTTCTCTGAATTACCCAGAAAAGTGTAACTTTGTTTTCTTCTTTGTATCTCTTTCTTTTAATTATACTTTATTTACTTTGTATCCCCTCTAGTTCCCTCCTCAGTTCCCTCCCAATCCCTCTCTTCCTCCTCCTTCTCCACACACGCCCCTCCCCAAGTCCACTGGTGGGAGAGGGTTTCTTTTTCTTTCTTCTAATCCTAGTCTGTTAGGTCTCATCAGGAGTGGCTGCACTGTCTTCCTCTGTGGCCTGGTAAGGCTGCTCCTCCCTCAAGGGGAGGTGATCAAAGAGCAGGCCAATCAGTTCATGTCAGAAGCTGTATCTCTCTCTTTTTTTTTTTTTTTTTTTAGTGCTGGCCTAAGCCTGGCAATCTTCTTGGTTATACTTCGGGTTTCCTTATCATCTCTAAAGCTCTTTCTCCACCAGTCCTACCGCAGTGCTTGTCTGCCATGTGCCTAGTTTCTGACCTTCATCCAGTCAAAGGGCATGGCTTTCTCTCTTCCTCTTTTCCATTTAACTGCTCACATCACTGCCAAGATTTACACCCTGGCTGCCCTGTGGATTTTTTTTTTTTTCAAACTGTGGTTTGTTTTGGGTATTTTTTTTTTTTTTGGTTAAAAAACTTGTAATGAAATTTACATTAAGCTTTCTTCTGAGTCCATTCTTAATTCTTTTATCAATGATACTAATAATGCTGAGAAAGGAACCTACTTTCATGACAATATGGTTACACAAGTGGAGAGCCCTGAATTTTCCTGTAATATGTGGTGTAACCCCATACAGTTGCCACTTAGCGCCCCCTCTCTGCCCTGCGCTCCTGGGTCAGGATATAAGCCCTGAGCTTCTGCTCCTACCGTGATGATCACAGACCCGCCCTCTGACACTGTGAATTGAAATAAAATTTTCTTTTCTAAGTTGCCTTGGTGTCTTATCACAGCCAAAAACGTCAGTCAGCAAGATACATGGCATACCCTTTCTCCCAAGAAGGACTTAGAATAATTTCAAATTGTAGAAAAGCTGTAGCTGTGATATTACAGAAATAGACATATTCATTCTGGACCTCATTTGTTTTTTGTTGTAGTAACAGGTTATATGGTCATGGGACATTTTCCAGAACTCAGGAATTTTCCAAAACTCAGGAATTAATGCTACCATATCACTGTGCATTGAATTATAGAGTTTACTAATATAGAACCAGTGTTTTTTACTCATATACTTTTTAATTGCACGATTCGAAATACTAGTTTGCATCAGACGTTATAGCTTCCTTTGCTCTCTGTTTTCTAATCTCCCTCCCAGGCTGACGTACAGCCCGTGTTTCTTGGAGGGTATATTGTTTCTTTACCTGCCACCCACCGTGTCCTTTGACATCTCAGCACCACACTCAGCACACCAGCAAGCTCTTCCTGCTCAGCTCAACTCTCAGAGACTCGTTAGAGTTAGGTTGGTTGACTGGAGTCATTGATCTTCCAGATAATAGATGTTTTCATGTTCTTATTGTCCTTACTGTTTCACTTGTATATGTAGGCTGATCTGGTCCTCTTTTCCTAATATCCTTGCTGGCAGCCCCTCACTGAATAGCACCATCATGCGCCCGTAGTCAGATAGTCCCAGTTCCTCATCCAGTCATTTCTAATTCCAGCCTCAAACCGGTCACTTTTCAGTTCGTCCTGCCGCT